TCACATTCCCTTCCACGTCAAGCCATGTTGTTCCCTTATGTGCACTAAACCCATGTTCCCGTGCGAATCCCTTGTAAAAGTACCAAACTTGATCACGTGAACAGAAGAGCTGACCAACCAATCTGTCAGATTCATCAACATTATGTACTTCATGGCATTCCTCGGTTGGCTTAACATTGTCTACATCAGTATTATCCATGGCAAAAATTTTGTTGTGCAAGTTCAGTGCTCCAGGAGTTGATGGAGATGTAAGCAAAGGTTCATTTTGAACATGTTTCAGTCGTACTGCTTTCAATAGGATGTGGCATTGGTAGTGGTAGTTAAAGGGTGGGTACAACATTAAATTCGCAGTACATATTTAGGTATGTACAATAACTACAAGTATATATTATCATTAAATTTAGGTATGTACAATAACTACATATTTAGGTATATACATCTTTTGAGTGAGTTTTAAGATATTAATTTAGTAATTATAGGCGTCTAATGATTTATTTTTACGTTACGGTATATATTATTATTAAAAAAAAATAAACATATATTACATATTATTATTATCTTTGGTTAATGTTGTTAAATTTAAATTCTAAATATTATTTTATAAAATATCAAAACAATCAAATAATTTTTTGTGTAAATGAAATTATTAAATTAATATTGTAGGTGGAAAACATGAAACACTATTAAAAAAAATTGAAACATAAATTACATAACTTTAAACAAAGTATCGATCCTTTTTATAAAAAGTATGGACACTTTCAATATAATAGGTAAAAATATGATGTAATAGGTAGCGCTTATATAATGTAATAGGTATCGTTTATATAATGTAATAGGTAGTGGTTATATTGTAAAGTATCTATCCTTTTTATAAAAGTGTCTATACTTTTTTCACTGTGGAAAACATTAATTTAAGGTTATCTTTTGAGTGAGTTTTAAGATATTAATTTAGTAATTATAGGCGTCTAATGATTTCTTTTTTACGTTATGATATATATTATTATTAAATTAAAAATTCTAAATATTATTTTATCAAATATCAAAACAATCAAATAATTTTTTGTGTAAATGAAATTATTAAATTAATATTGTAGGTGGAAAACATGAAACACTATTAAAAAAATTGAAACATAAATTACATAACTTTAAAAGAAGTATCGATCCTTTTTATAAAAAGTATGGACACTTTCAATATAATAGGTAAAAATATGATGTAATAGGTAGCGTTTATATAATGTAATAGGTATCATTTATATAATGTAATAGGTAGTGGTTATATTGTAAAGTATCTATCCTTTTTATAAAAGTGTCTATATTTTTTTCACTGTGGAAAATATTAATTTAAGGTTATCTTTTGAGTGAGTTTTAAGATATTAATTTAGTAATTATAGGCGTCTAATGATTTATTTTTTACGTTACGATATATATTATTAAATTAAAAATTCTAAATATTTTATAAAATATCAAAACAATCAAATAAGTTTTTGTGCAAATGAAATTATTAAATTAATATTGTAGGTGGAAAACATGAAACACTATTAAAAAAAATTGAAACATAAATTACATAACTTTAAACAAAGTATCGATCATTTTTATAAAAAGTATGGACACTTTCAATATAATAGGTAAAAATATGATGTAATAGGTAGCGCTTATATAATGTAATATGTATCATTTATATAATGTAATAGGTAGTGCTTATATTGTAAAGTATCTATCCTCTTTATAAAAGTGTCTATACTTTTTTCACTGTGGAAAACATTAATTTAAGGTTATCTTTTGAGTGAGTTTTAAGATATTAATTTAGTAATTATAGGCGTCTAATGATTTATTTTTTACGTTACGATATATATTATTATTAAATTAAAAATTCTAAATATTATTTTATAAAATATCAAAACAATCAAATAATTTTTTGTGCAAATGAAATTATTAAATTAATATTGTAGGTGGAAAACATGAAACACTATTAAAAAAATTGAAACATAAATTACATAATTTTAAAAGAAGTATCGATCCTTTTTATAAAAAGTATGGACACTTTCAATATAATAGGTAAAAATATGATGTAATAGATAGCGCTTATATAATGTAATAAGTAGCGTTTATATAATGTAATAGGTAGTGCTTATATTGTAAAGTATCTATCCTTTTTATAAAAGTGTCCATACTTTTTTCACTGTGGAAAACATTAATTTAAGGTTATCTTTTGAGTGAGTTTTAAGATATTAATTTAGTAATTATAGGAGTCTAATGATTTATTTTTTACGTTACGATATATATTATTATTAAATTAAAAACAATAAACATATATATTGCATATTTATTATTATCTTTGATTAATATTGTTAAATTTAAATTCTAAATAATATTTTATAAAATATCAAAACAATCAAATAATTTTTTGTACAAATGAAATTATTAAATTAATATTGTAGGTGGAAAACATGAAACAATATTAAAAAAAATTGAAACATAAATTACATAACTTTAATAAAAGTATCGATCCTTTTTATAAAAAGTATGGACACTTTCAACATATTATAATGTAATAGGTAAATTTACAATGCTATCGGTATAAATATACCGGTTTACTTATAAAATAAGTAAATATAAGCGCTACCTATTACATTATATAAGCGCTACCTAGTATGTTATTGTACTTTATAATATTTCCGGTTAAATAATATAACATAACCGGTGTAAATTTTAACCGGTCACTTGTTTAACCAATCACGCCGTATATTAACTGTTTTTTAGGCGCCGCACCGCATAACTACCCTGGCTTATCAGTATGGAATTGTAACAGCTATTGTGGGTGCTCAGCTTGGCTTGCAGGCTGTTATTCTCATGGGTTCTAAACTGCAATATTCCCTTTCCGGCTCACATGCTTCATCGATCACGTGACACTATTATTAGATTTGGTTGAAGCGAACAATAGTCATAATGCAATCGCTTTCGTTTCATATAATAGTCTAAACTAAGGTGGTGTTTGTTTTTGCAGAGATAAAAAGTTTGCAATCTGCGGATTACATCTGTAGGCATCTGCAGCAGAAGAGGTGAACCAAAAGTCTGCAGTCTGCAAGAAGAAGACTGTTTGTTTTTTAACGTCTGCAGACTGCTAAAATAAACTGAAATATAAATAAACTGATTTTTTAAACTTAAAAGAGTTTTGCAATACTGAGATTTAAATAATTTTAGTTTTACAATACTAAAATTTAAATAATTCATACAACTACAATAATAATTTTTTAAAAAAAAACAAACACCACCTTATTAATTCTATTATAAGTCTCACATAATCACATGTATTATTAGTTTTATAAGTTTTATAGAATAAAATTTATAAATGATCATTAAATTATATGATTTTTTTAAATATACAATTATGTAATATTTTTAATTTTTTAAATATATATTCATAGTTTATTTTTATAATTATATGATATTTTTAGAAAATATTTTTTAATTTATAAAATTATTTTATAATTATTTTTTATTTAATTGTGATTATATTTTAAAATTTTAAAAACATAATTTATAATTTTTTATATTTTAAAATCTTAATTATCAAACAATGAAATCATTTTTTATTAAGCAGTGTGGTTTAAATACTTACATTTTGTATAAAAAGTTTAAATATAATTTAAAAATAACAAATCAAAAAAAATATTATATTTAAACTTAAATCAAAATAATTAAAATAAATATAAAATTTTAATAATATATAAAATAATTTATATGCTATAAAATTAAATATCTATAATATAATATTAAAATTAATATCTATAATATAATATTAAAAAATTAATATTTAATTTATTTAAAAAAATTAATATTAAAATCAAAATCAAATATAATATAAAATTAAATATAAAACATCTTTGTAGAGATTAAAAGATGTTTGCAGACATAAGGTCACGTCTGCGCCGCGCAGACGTTAGAAGAGCTTCTGTCTTCTAAAAAACAAACGGTCTGCAAAGCCCAATGTCTGCGCGTGGTCTGCGCGGCGCAGACATAAGAACTTTGTAGATCTTACACAGTAAAAACAAACACCACCTAAGACACTAGAATTATTTTTCTAACATATTAAAATTCATGGAGCAAAAGATTAAATCAACAAAATGTTCAATGTTTATACCAGGTAGAGATGTCCTTTATAAAGTATCCATGTAATTTTTAGATTCTAGTATTGGTTGATTGTATTGTTATTGGATATGGCTTTTTTGTTTCTATACTTTCTCTTCGTAGTTGTCTATTGTGTTGCACTCCCACAATATTTCGATAAATTCAATTTTTTCCTAACAAGTTTTGCCTTCTTAGATGTTGGAATTATTTTTAGAAGTAGGGAAGGTAACGAATCCGGTTAGATCAATTTTTTTACTCACTCGAACTTGACTTGAAAATTGAAGTTGTCCATCTACACCCAATCTGACCCATGTTTAGGACAGTTCTCACTCAATCCAAAATTTAACACAATATTTTAGGTTTAAACCTCTGCCCGACCCAAATATATATATATATATATATATATATATATATATATATATATATATATATATATATTCAATTTTGTTAGGTAAAATAATGATCTAATTGAAAAAGAAAATAGAAAGCGTATTATTAAAATTATCCCTAAATATACAAGGCATAATTATAATATTATGTCGGGGTGGTCAAAATATTTTCACCCTAAACTTAACTCTAACCCAAATATGAACTAAATACTCCAACCCAACTCTACCCAAATCAACCTCATATTTTCTCCCATTTTCTAATTGATTCCTCTCATTTCTCATCGATTCCTTCATTTTCTCGCTAACCAAACCTAAGCAAAAGCTTAGGCTAAACCATGAAAAAAATTGAGATTTTTTTCAAAAAACAATCCCCAAAATTAAAAAAAAAAAAACAAACAAAAACTTCAAGATCCATAAAAGTTACACGCAATACTTGAATCTTCATTCGGATTTTGAAACCCTCACAAAATCCACAGAAAAATTGCTGTGAAAGAGGGATGGATAAAGAGAGAAAAATGGATAACAAAGGGGAAAAAAGAGAAAATGGATAACAAGAGAAATTGGAATAAAGCATGCAATACGGTTGAAAGATCAACTTCGGAAAAAAGAGGGGCAGACGAGCGCTGTGATCAAATACATGGTAGATATCGGAAAGCTGTCACAGAGAAAATTATGCACGTTGACATACCTTGCCAAGAACCTATCTTCATCACCAACGCCAGTGAAGAAAGGTAAGAACTCACTATATATCCTAGGGGCCAATGGACTTCAGTGTAGTGCTGTATGCTTTTCTTATAACCAACAAAAAAGGAGAATGAAAGCTTTGTTCTTCATCATATTTTGGCATTTTGAGAAGGTCCTCCTATCTGGTTCTCCCCCTTTTGATCCTTCCGGGGAGCATCAGAAACTGGTGACACTTTTTGCTTTGCCTGAATCGGCATTTGGTATTTGTTCGATAGGGTTTTGTTTAGTACCCTTATCTTGCATCACAGAACTGCTGGACTCTGGTTTACTTCTTTCTTCACCCGGTTCACTAGCATTCTGCTGAGCTTTAGTTATGTTGACTGCTGATTGTTTCTTTGATTCAACGGCGATTTCCTTTATTGCCTCCTCTAGTTTACCTAGTCTCACTTTTACCTCAGAAAGCTCTGGATCCGTCACGATTTTTCCCCCCTCTTTATCCCTCTCCTCTTCTTCTTGCATTCTTTTCGCTTCTTCCTGCTTCTTTTTCTCCTCTAGTTCCTGAGGTGAATGAAACAATCATCGGCGAAAGGAAATGAGTTCACAGGTAGAAAGACCCACAGCAAAATGTACAAGAGAAACAAGGAAAATTTTGTTACCGCTTCCATTTTCCTCACTTCATAGCGAGCATATTGAGCAACTAAGTACACAGCTGTTACAGAACAGATATAAGTTTCGATACCAGCAGTAAACCAAGAGATGTATTCCGATATAAAATTGGCAGATGTTAAGCTTGTTAGTTGAGATACCCAGTGAAGGCATGCAGGCAAAGAAGAGCTGCACCAAATGGAAATCTATCCTGAAATAAAATTAAGATATGGAAGAATAAGCCCACAACAACTGCCGAAAGATGCAGAGAAGTCATCTAGTAATGATGAGATAAGACAATACTTTCACTTTAAAGAAATCTTTTTATATATTTGCGCCTCTCACATTAAAGATATGCTTAGTTTGAGAACCTCATGAATAATGATGCAAGGATTGCAACTTGTTCAGAGTATTGAACTAAACATGAACATGAACAAGAACACGAACAGCTTCCACTTTCCAATAAATGAAACATCTAGTAAATTATAATAAAAGAAATCAAATGAAATCTCATTTGATTTTTACTAAGTGATTTTTTTGCATTAAATGTGGAATCGAGGAGAACTAAAAGGTAAAAATGCAAATTATATCACGTATATCTCATCCATAGTATTGAACAAGAACAAGAATGTCAGATATAGAAAGAGGCCAACAGATTAAAATTACAGGGGTGCTATATCACAGACCAAAGTTTGCACAAAGCGGAAGATACAATAATTTATGAAGCATACCAAATGAAACCCATCTAATTTTTTAATGATAAAAAGAAGAATATCTTATTTTAAATGTCATCTATATCTATCAACTTCTCATTGCATTCAATTGTATAATGAAATGATTCATGAAGAACTTAAAAACTATTCTACTTTAGCAGCATTCTGAATTTTTTTGTGTACCACTAAACTACTGAAGGAAATGCTAATACAGAAAGCAACCATTTAAGCATCAAAAACAGTAAAGAAGGAAACATGTTTGAAGAAATGCCGCAAACAATCAAACCAAGAAAAACCCAAGAAGAAAGGGAAAAAAACTCTCAAAACCAATTCCTAAAAGAAGTCAAACACGTAAAAAAATTAAAGAATAAAAAGTCAGAGAAAATAAAAGTAATACCCAAATTTCTTTTTCTTTGGAGGTTGAGTGAAAAGGATCTTAGCAGCAGTCATGAAGTTGAGATTGTCAAGCTGACGATATGACTCATTGAAAGTGCTCAAATTTGATTCAATCTTGCTATCAACAATGTCACTGTTGTTGTTCTTGTTGTTTCTGTTCTTGCTGTCTTTGATAGTGCTGCAAAAGGGTCTTGTCTTGAAATGGATTGAGAATCGAGCACAAGCACTTCTGGTTCGAAACATTGTCTTTTCTTTCTCTTTTTTCTGTTCTATTGTGGTTCCTACCGTATCATACTCATTTTTAACTTTAACAGCTAATAGCAAGTTTTCTAAAATTTTCGAGATTCACAGTCCATTATCTATAAAAGTGACTCTAAAAGGTAACTTCAAGACCTAAGGAAATATTCAAATGAAATGGAAAAACAAATCATCCTCATCTGATCATGGATTTTTACTAAGATGTAGAACTTTTTTTTTTTTTTGACAAAGACTAAGATATAGAACTTAGAAGTTAGAACAAGAAATAAGCAGCAGGAACAATGTTTGTTGCATAATCAGACTGTAAGAATTTTGTTGCATAACCAGACAAGTTTGTCGTGTCACAAGCATTGATCTCAAAGGGATAAATAAATAAATAAAATGAGTTATAAGCTTAATGAAAAATGCCGTGTAGAATACCGCATATTCAACTCTTAACACTCTGTCCACGCTACACAAACAATGCCGCCTATCTAAAGGCCAAACTCAAACCACCAAGCAATCAAAGAAGACACTTAGCAACTAGCCAACCCAAGGTGAAAAAGAAGGGAAAATATGAAAGGTAATTGAGAACAAAGATTCTAAATGTCCATCGCAAGTGATTCTTGTCAGAAAACTTATGAATAAATATATGAATGTGATCCAACAGCCATGAGCTGAAACTCAAGTAATGTTTTACACTGAAATTCCTTTCACAACTTCCGATCTCTTATGAATATAAAATAAGAGCATGGAGAGGGGGGAAAACAACTCTAAGACTCCTAAAACCATTTAATCTTGAAGCGGAGAGAAACAGGCCTCGTTCAAGCATTACATCAAACAGATGATTTGCAAACTCCCACTAAACTAACTAGAAACAACATGTGGTCTAAAGATGTACAAAAACAAGATCAACTGCAAATCATTATAAATATTTTAGACTATAAGGATATGGGTTATTACCAATGTTCAAGAAACACCTGTTTCAATGTCTTCAGATGAATAATAGTCGCGTATAGACGAGAAAGTTGGAGGGTGGTGACAAGATCGGGGAAAAGAACAAGTGAATGATGCCTTAGAACTTTAAGGTAAAATTGCACAAATCGTTATACCTTTGTTAATATTTTGTGTAGTATTTAATAATATAAAATAGTATCAAATTACATCCATTATTAGAAATTTGATAATATTTTATTATATTTGAATATTTGTATAATTAAATAAGAAAATATTTTATATAATTATACTGATTTTCAATTATATAAAATGTTATCAAAATTGTATAAAATCATATTGATAAAATTATAACAATTTGTGTAAATACCATTTCATGATTTTTCCTAAATTTACATTTTTAAGGTTCTTACCGTAGAACTACTCTTAATTTTATTACAAAACTTGAAACATTTTAGACTTAAATGTGTACTTTTACCCTTATTTATTCTTTGTTTTAACTTGATATTTATGATTTTTTTGTTAACTGAGTATTCCAACTTTTATACTATATTGATTTTTAATCGTATTATTTTTTATAATTTAATAATATAATATTATGATACAAAACAAATAGAATATAAATGTTATTGTACCTCCTGATTTCATCTACAAATAATTCCTCTAATGACAAACATCTAAGGAATAAAATACTTTCGAAAGATCCTTTCTTTGACTATAGTCTGCAGGGTTTCACATCCTTCAACCAGTTGTCTTCTCTTAACATAACTAATAACTAACTCATTGATTTGTCGAAGTCAAATCTACTGTCAGACAATCATATTCATTCAACCTGTCAACCTATGACTATCAATCATGACCCTAGGTCTAACACTAGTACTAAGTATAGTAAATATTAATTTAGGATTGTAGTAAAGATAATCTAATAATAGCAAGAATAATATCGTAGTAATAATAAAATTCTAGTTGTAACGTAATAAAACACACTGAAATAAATTAAAAAAGTAAAATTAGAATGAAATTGGTAATTAGATAGAATTAAATAAACATAATAAGACTTTTGTTGAGGTATGTATGAACAGTCTCCTTAAGATAAATTCGTCATCTCCTTGGTGCTTTGAGTAAAGTTGGACGTCAGTCTACCATAATATAACAACAATGATCACAACAATAAGTACAACTGTAATGGACAATAGAACATGTCTTTGTCCTTTTTTATCACCAAAATATTGAATTTTGAAAGAATTGTATGAATTGAAAGGAAATGAGTTAAAATGAAATTAGAAAAAATTCAAAGTTGTGTGGAAAATGTGTCACAACCTAGCCTTTATATACAGAGAGGAATTGTATTGAAAGGTTAAGACCTTTCAATGAATGGACTTAACCTTTTGATGAAGCTTAAACTTTTCATGAAAGGACATAATCATTTTTTTAAAGAGAACTGTTGAATATATATGATTGAATGATTGCAACTTTAAACAAAAATTAAGTCTATTAATGACAAGGATCGTAACTGTCAAATAAATAATCCTTAATCTCAAAAATAAATAAGTAAATATGCATAGTAAAGAGAAGAAGGGATCATATACATGGACTAATGAGTTTCTGATGTTGAGAGGTTTTGATTCTGACTTTGATGAAAAAGTAAAGAGAATGGGGGGTTTCAATTGAGATGGCGAAGTAGAAAATAAATGTAAATAGTAAAAGTAAATGATAATTTTTTTTTTGAAAAATTGTCGGTAGTAAATCTTGAGAAGAAAATCAATTAAATAAAATAGTCTCTAGCCTCGGTTTGTCTCAATTCATTTCAATCATTGAAAGTGATTTTACTTTGGGATTCATGCTGGTTATTGTCTACAAGGCCCAACTCTTGTAACTTACTTTTTCTTTCAGGTAAACCGATATTCTCAAGTCAATCTTTGAAATTCATTCCTTGTTTAGACTAACTACAATTATCGTCGTTAGCACCAAATTAACTTTAACTGGTGGAAAAGCCTGACTCAGATTATGTTGTCTCAATGATAATCGAATATGATCTCAATTTCCCTGAGCGAACCACCGCTAAGTTGTTCATAGGAAGTTAAACTTGCTACCAACCGATTCTTCCTCCCAACTTTAAATTAGAACAACATCCAGACCATCATCGACTTTTTGAAATGAAAGTGTTAAGATTTTTAAAGGAAACGTCGATTGCTAATCCAAGTTTGTAGAAAATTGAGAATGATATCCGAAGATATTAAGTGCTTTCCAATTCTCAGTAAATGAATTGAGTCATCGCTAAGCCATCGACTAATTGATAAAATTAGCTAAGAATGATAGAAGTCATACTTAGCATGTTTTTAAAGAAAAAAAAAGTAAAGACTTAAAGTAAAAAGGAAAGAGAAAATGAGAATTTTTTTTTATAAAATTAAAATAAAGAAAATGAATCGAAATCAAGTCTCTTTCAAGGTTTACCTTGAGGGGTATTTATAGCTTTCAAATAACCTAAGGATAATAACTAAGGATAATTCTAAAAACATTCAAATAAAATGATAATTACTAAAATTTTGAATTCAAATGCAAACTTAAATCCTAAGTAATTTTCGTACATCTCCCATCTAGATAATGCTGACTGGATCGCCTTCTCAAAATTGTTGCTGACTATATCTTCTAGAAACTATCACGTCAGACTGTATCATGCCCCAGGTCGTGCCCATGTCTCCATCCACGATCAGATAATAAAAAATGAAAAATGCACCCTTCTTACTGTTGGTTCTGAAAAATAGACTCATGCACATAAATAAGCAAAACATAACCAAATCAACAACAATAAATTGATAACACATAAGAATTAACAAGTAAATATATTTAATTTAAAACACTCATTAAATTCCCCATCACTTATTCATTGCTTGTCCTTAAGAATGCCTCAATCAAATATATCAAAATCTCAAGTTAACATCCTTCATCTCACAATATATCCAAGAAAAAACAAATGAGCTAATACTACAATAATTATCGAGTGATAATCAAGTTAAAGGCATACTAAGGAATAAGTTAAGCAAAACCATGATATCCCAATAATCTATATATTTCAATGTAACAAGAATAAATACCTCACAATGCTTCATTCATTGTCGCTCAAAGTGTTTCAGGCATAAGAAAATACTCAAGCCAGAACCAAAAATGTAATTACCATAAGCATGTAAGTAAATCAAGTCTCTACCCTAAAGTGAACAAGATGCATTAATCAAATGGTCTTTAAAAAGCGTGTTGTAACAACCCGGATATTTTCAAAATAATATTTAATTGAAATTAGAGGTTTTAATTATGAAAATCGGTAAATTGTGGGGACTAAATTGAAAGATTTTAAAACTTGGAGCTTGTTTTAGAGTTAAAGAAAATTCAGGGACCAAGCCCTGAATTTACCCAAGAAAGTTAGGTATGTTATGATATAAATGTAGTTTTCTATTTCAAAACAGAAAACCACACCTCAATTGCTCCCAAATTTCCTTCCCCTATGCCAGTTTCCGACTTAGATCACGACGCCGTCCGAATTCTGATCGTCATTTTGAAACCACTGTTGTGTTCATCATCGAGCGAGGAACAAACCCTTCAAATTAATTGAAGCGAAACGCTGCCAAACGTCGGGAATTTCCAGTCAAAGTCTCGACGTTTTTGTTAGCTCTATCGCCAGGAAAATCTTAAATTCACCGCCGATCGTTGCTCTGTTTACGACACCTCCTGCACCATCGTGTTCCTTGTGTCGTTTCGAGTCCGTTGATGTCAACCTTGTTTGCCGTTGACGGCGGCGCGTGAGGAGGTGGAGCAATCAAAGATTCGGCCGAGTTGAAATCGAGCTCTCTGCCGTTCAAAAATTTGAACCGATCTTTGTAAGTATCTCGAAATCGCTTAAAATAATTTTTAGAAATTTTTCCGAAATTTTTAGACCCCCAGAGGAGGCCTCACGCACCACACGCGCCGCCGCAGGGAGAGTGGAGGGCTGGAAACCTGTTCTGACCGGTTTGACCGGTCAGAACCGGTTTGACTGGTCTGAACCGGTTTGACCGGTCTGACCCGACCCGACCCGACTGACCCGACCCGACCGTTGACCCGACCCGACCCGACCGTTGACCGCGACCGTTGATCGTTGACTTCCTTTGACCAAAACTT